ATTCTGGATTCCGGGAAGCGTGTCGTCGTCAGGATACTGGTCGAGGATGGTTTTGTCTAAGGGCATGTCAAGATAAAGCGAATTATGTGCTGTCAACCAAGATAAGAAGTCCCATACCTTCCCTTTTCGAATCCGATATATGTTTTTCAGAAATTCGGGTCGAAGTTTTCCTGGTCCAATAAAAACAACACTCAATGTTTCGTTGATATCCGCGGGGGTGCGTGGAAGGACAGATGCAGTGGAAACCACGTTCATCTCATGCGCACATGTGTTACCATGTAAAACATTTGGTAATGCAGGATCACTAGATTGAAAAAGACGTGTGATGTGAGCAGTATACCGATATCGAGAGCATACCATCTCTTCCACCCAGGTCAGATCGTGAAACTGAGAAGGAAGTAGACCCCGGTATAGGCAGTTTGCTAAAGCAAATTTTGGCATTCTACCTCTGCGGAGAGACGAGTAACATTGAGTACAAATGTCCAAACTCACATTTCCATCAGTTGTAGGACGGACGGCGGATTTATATAGCATCAATCCATCTAGAGCTTTATAGCCAAACTTGAATTCGGGAGAATCGGACTGTAGAATACAGTTTTTGATGATGACGGGATCAGTGATAGACAACATTTCCAAGTGATGTGGAAGTGTAGAAACGTTTCCGTCAACGAGGATAGAAGCAACTTCGCTGTCATGAATTTGTCGACTGCAAACAGCACAGGGGGGTGGAAGTGCCCACATGGTACCTTTGAAATATTCGTTTAGTCTCTTAAACACAATTTCACGAGATACCTTGTGAGGCCAAGACACTTTTATTTCGGTAACGATTTTGAATGTTGACATCTGTTCTTTCATTTTCTTTTCGAGCTTGTTAGCTTTGACACATGCGTCGACGCTCTGCTTTCGAGTCAAAAAGGGACGTGAAATCTCAGATAAAATATCTTCTCCGTATTCAGCCATAAGAATTTTGTGCACGAAAGATGTACGTGAATCCAGGCATAGGCTTACTGGAGCAAATGGAGCAGCACACAACAACTGGTCGACCACGTAAGTATCTTCCTGACAAAAGAGGAAACGACCCCGTTGCTTTAAATGCCATAGGATCGCGTGCCAACAGGATTCTTTCGACGAAGCTTTGAACGATGGGCGCGTGGACAGATGCATAGATTGAAGACACTCTTTCATTCTTGCAATAGTCATTTTACGCGGTATCCTAGTCATCCACGGAGATAAATCGTCCGTTAACCACGGCATGTTGTTTGCTATCAGTTGCTCGTTTACTGTAAATGACTGCAATGCAGGCCAGGGAGATTTACGTATGGTGGAAGCTACTAGTGGGCCATATACTGTCTCGAACAACACACTAATCAGTACGTGCCGTGATAAATTAGTACTCACAGATAAATTCACCTCACGTACATAGGTGCAAATCGCGCAAGTGCTGCATGAAGACAAGAAACCGCAGCGAGATGCAAAGTCTTCCAAGATAAGGTTGATGCAACTTAGCTTATCATGATGTCTTCCCGCTGGAAAGCCGGACGAAATACGGGAAGCCACTGTACGCAGCTCATCGCGGCTTAACGTATTCAAAGACATCTGCAAATCCGAAAGGGAACGGGACAACCAGGAAGGGTCGGAGTTTAAGACTCCAGCTACGACGTCAGCCAAACTTTGTGAAGGCATTCCACAAGACTGCATGATTCAAGCAATAAAAATAGTCGGATGAGCACAGAGTGACGTTTACCGTCACAGTTGAGGTCTGGTTTATAATTTTTATACGTCGCGATTGACGAGGATGTTTTACGTCGCGGTCGACGAGTTGTTTAACGTCGTGATCGACGATAATGTGTTCCCGTCAACAAAGCACCTTCGTGGTGAGAGGCAACAGGGGGCTCAAAGTCGTGGGCCTGATCGATGACCCGAATTTCAAAGTGTGGAGTCAAACAGAGGAGAAATTATCCTATTAGGGTAATTCGGGTCAAACCGGGGGCAGCCTTTGGCAGGGTTGTTTAACGACTTCGCCGACAGAACCCTCCTCTCTTGTCAGAGAGTCGGGGAACCCATGTGGAACAGGTACAATACAGCATTGGCTGGCCCATGTGGTAAGGGTACAATATAGCTTCAGCCAGCCCGTGTGGTACAGCTACAATATAGTGTTGGCCAACCTGTGTGGTATAGGTACAATACAGCCTCAACCAAGCCATGTGGTACAGGTACAATCACCCCTCCAGCTGGTGTTGGGTGGCCCATGTGGTATGGGTACATTTCACTGAAAGGTGTGAGACTCCTACTCATCCACCAGGGGAAATAGCAAAATGCAATGCCAAATTCAAGACTTGAGTTCTGTATAGATTCTGATGCTTTGATTGTACTACATCCGATATATTTGTTGTTGTTGATCTGAACTCTAATTTTTGCTTATTTTCCCTGGCAACTGGCAAAAGTTGCTGTGGCAGCTTGTGCGTGTTTGCTCTGTGGCGCAAAACGGTGTTCATTGTTCATCAGTTTCGTGGCTCAGCCTCACCAGATACAGATAGAAAAAATATACAAGTCCTTGACACATACATTAAATGTATACAGCACCACCAACATGATGCTGTATATAACTGTGATCAGCTGCAAGAATGGTCAAAGTTGCTGCACCACATGTATCTAGTAGGTAGGATATAAGACATCAACATACTGAGGATTTCAGTACTTAACTTCAAATAGTAGAGGCATCCAATAGGTAAGCGATTTGCCAGAGCTGGTTGCAGCAATGGTGATGACATCATCTAGCACTAAGATTTTATCAACAACCTTGATCTGCCAAAGACATGGTCTGACTCCAAAAGCTTCTTCCACCAGCCTCTGCCTCTTTGTCGTCATTGAGCAGATGACAGTGATGCAAGGACAAAATGTGATCAGTTTTTTTCAGAGACAGCATGTTTGACAATAATTTTCAGAGGTAATAATAATGTTGGAGCAGCTTTGGGGAATGATTCCATTCTGAGAAGCCAAACAAGTGCAAGCCACCACACCAAGTTTTGGCATTTGCTGGGGGAAATAAGCAAAATTTAAGGTTTAGGATCATGTGAATAAATATAATCATATAGACAGATCTCAACTACAGTAATCCCCCAGTCCTTGAAACAACTAAATTGAGTCTGTGAATTGCTGTTTGCTGTGTAGTATTTAGTAAAATATTTTTGCATACACAAGTTGCTTTACATACCAGGAGTGTGGGTGTAAATCTTCTAAGGAAAATATACATGTTTACATAGTGTGCAATGGCATACAGTATCGGGTCGATTTTGGTAAAAACTAGTCCATGCTTTGCCTGCCATTTTGGGCACCAATTGCCTGTTTCAGCCAGTTATCTCCCGTCCACAAATCATGAAATCAGTCCTAGCTGCTCAAATATCACTGTCACATGTAAAAGTGTGTTTTACACCTAGTGCACTTTTCCGGGTGTTAGGTTCAGTGGTAACTAGTAAGTTGTTGAGGGTGCGCGATATACAGCAATGAACTAGGTCAAAGCAGATCAAATACATAAAACAAACAACAACCAGATGACAATATGTTGATAGAATACTGACTGTAGTACTCCTTGCAAAATAATCCCTAGCAGTAGATGCTCGAGAGACTATCCAAGAAATGTACAAATATTGCTTCTTGATGACTATGGTACTCCTTGCGAAATAATCCCTAGCAATAGATGCTCAAGAGATTATCCAAGAAATTTACAATGATATGCTTCTTGATGACTGTGGTACTCCTTGCAAAATAATCCCTAGCAGTACATCCTCAAGAGATTATCCAAGAAATGTACAATGATATGCTTCTTGATGACTGTGGTACTCCTTGCAAGATAATCCCTAGCAGTACATGCTCAAGAGATTATCCAAGAAATGTACAATGATAATGCTTCTTGATGACTGTGGTACTCCTTGCGAAATAATCCCTAGCAATGATGCTTGAGAGACTATCCAAAGAATGTACAATGATATGACTTGATGACTAGACTGCTGAATGATGATGGCTGCTGATATATATGACTGGGAAATATGTGGGTGATTCAAAGTTGTAGATTGTGCTGGCAGGATATGCAAGAGATCTGAACAGTGATGGGTGACCACCTTCAAATGTCTGATATCTACTTATATACATATTTAAAACAGGGGCCTATTACTACAAGTATACAGGAAGAATGACTAGTTGTGACTGATATGTGAGCAAAATGAATCATAAGGACTCATAATGACTGAATAGAATGCTAAAGAACTGAAAGGAAGCAAATGGAGTCATATGTAGTCAGGAATGAGTAACAATGACTCAAATGAGTCATTATGACTATTTGTAGGGTCATGGAACCAAATAGAACAAAGTGAATCCAAATGAGTCATAAGTCAGTGAAATGAATCATCCAGAACTAATTGTGAAGTAATATCCTAAAGAATATTGCAACTTCCCTTATCCTAAATATTTGTAGACATTGAATGAAGCAATGAAAGTAAATAGTAAGTAAAATTCCATGTCAAACTTTGAAACAATGTTGAGATGTGACATCGCACAATGCTAATAGCACTTGTAGGAAAATGTGTGTGTATATACTTTGTTCTTTATTACCCATCCTAAAAATAAATAAATTTTACAAATTCAAAATGACACAAGGCTTTAAAACTTTACAGATTTTGTGGATTTCACACCTATCCTGAATTTGTAAACAGAACAAGGGCTTCACATTCTGTAAATCATGTGTGAAATATGTATTGAATTTTCCTTGAAAGTAAAAGAGAAAGAAAAAATTTCTAAAATAACAAAATTGAACCAGCTTCAAACTCTGTTTCAAGGAGTGGTGCTGTGTCAAGGACCAAGGGATTACTGTACTTGGATTTGTGATTTCCCCCAGCAGATGTGTAGGAGTCTGATCAAGAGCCCTCATTGAGGCAAGCAGAAGTCCTATATACATCAAGAAGAATGACCAGCTTGTTCAACCAAGGAACATGACCAAAAAAAGTTGACGACAGAGGGATTCGAACCCTCGCCCCGAAAGACCAGATATCACGTGACTTAAAGCCTGATTCTGGCGCCTTAGACCGCTCGGCCATATCGCCATATACTCAACTATATTATTTTGCAGGATTATCCGCTCGATTGAACAGTATAGTTATACTGCGGTTAATATGTTGTATATGTTGCATACCTTGAAACAGCCGACACCATGTAGCTCTCATGATGATCTGACTCACCCTCTTCCTTCTAAATATCGTGAACTGAGATGTTCCCAACTATTGCTTGACAGGTAAGAGCTTAGGGGGCCTTCTTTCAGCTCCCACTGCTGAGGCTCCCAGTTGCAAACGGTGGTCTATGACCAGTGTTAAGCGCATATTCTACAAACAAGGATTTCAGTAATTTCGTAGAGTGTCCACTTGACTCCTGACTCCCGCCGCTCGCATCCACTTAGTATTCTGCGGGAACTAACAATCAGGATCTATAGGTGCGAGTTCCTGAAATGGGTCGAAATACCAGTCGTGTGTGCTCTAATCATTCACTGAAATGATACTATATTCACAAATCTAACATCATTAGACGGTCAGACGGGTAAAATGAACGTTTGCCGCACAGCAGGCCGAAATTACGCTTGAGTGAAACGCAAATTATGAAAGGTTTATCCAAGGAGGATAAATCGTTATTATAACGACTTCCGCAGATCTCGCTACAACTGATATGTAAGTACATGTAATGTCTAGCTCATATTATACGAGGATAGCCTTAACGCCGCTGACTTGGCTGATGAAAGGACATGATCATGGCGGTCTTTCCTATTCTTGACTTCTGAAAACCGATTCTACCTTCTCGTACTTTCATGCCACGTCTCACGTAGCGGAGTAGAATGCAGATGCTACATTCAAGAGCCAGAGATGAACAAGATCTGAAGAAAATATGTCGGCAAGCCCGGCCAAAACCCGATCGAAACCCCCACTTCCAGTCTCTCATCCATGGCTATCTCATCACTTCCAGATTCGTGTGACCAAAGGTGCGGGTGATTGTGGCGAAACTGTACCAGGTACAATTTGATATGGAACCTTTATACAGTGAATGCAGGTCAGCTCGTTGAGAACTCCGAGAACTCATGGATGAACGTACTCCGATATGAGCCATAAATCGATTGAGGTTAACATGGATGTCCTGAGTGTCCGCAGAACTTTCAGGCGACTTTTTACTTTCCGGAGACGATCCCGAGGAGTCGCATATGTCCTCGACCAGACCATAATCCGCAACAAGTCTTCGAGCTTCATCGGGACTCATCGCAAACAGATCCGCGATGTTTCGGGGGAAAAGCGGGGATGGAGTTGGAGGTGGCAATTCGTCAGATGACATGATTTTGGGACGCACAGTGGTAGCCGACGTGGGAGCGGGCACGGGGGGCACATTCGGTGATGGCACTAGGATTTGTGTTTGTGATGCAGGAGTTGTAAGGCTGATGGATGGCCGAGGAGATGGAGACTGAATCGGGTAGGGTCGGAGGAGAGGCCGAAGTGGTTCGCTGAGTGCGGCGGTGGATTTCAGGAGAGCATTGTGGCGTCTTGCTTCCCTGAGTAGATTTCGGGCCGTGAGTACTGTTCGAACAGAGAATCCGGCATCATACGCACGAGTTATGAAGACTTGTTCGGACTTGAAGGATTTGACGCTTATGGTGAGTGATATCTTGTCTCAAATTATTCGGAATCTGATCCATTAACTAAAATTACCAGCACAAGTTTAAGTGTCGGTGTGTCCGTTGGGAAAACATGCTTGTGTGATGTACCTGCTGATGCACCTTCTCTTTGACCCGTTCTTCAACTTTTTCCTGGACCAATAGATTTACACGAGTGCGAAGCGTCTCCGCAAGCTTCTCCTTAAGTACATCCCGAAGGAGAGTTTTGACCTCCTGCATCCTATCGTCCTGGCGAACGTATTGAGCAGTCAGTTGACTGCGAATAAGCCCGATCTGAAAATGGGCATCACAAATCACTCCTCACAACTTTTCGCAGAAAACCGATTCAATTAACCGACCTGGTGAGTGGCCTCCATCGCAGGTCCAAGTTCAGCCACCTTCGTCGTCTGCTCACCCAAGGTGTCAAACGTTTTTCCAAGCGCACTCAAGGTGCTTTTCATGGTTGAAAGCAGTTCATTCACAGCGAGAAGATCTGGCGCAGGTTTAAGGTCACCCATCGATAGTGTGGTGAGTGAAGACTTGGTCGGCGACGGGGGCCTTAGGGGCGGTTCGAGCGGGTTAGTTGTGATTGACAGTTCAGGTTTTTGAGGAGCCGTAGGTCTAGAAGTGCGTGGCGTGGCGAGATTTCCAGGCATTGCTTGACCAATCAGATATGTATCTTTATGTAGCTCTAGTGTGAATGTACCAGGACCACAACGAGAGACAAAAGGGTCAAATAGCAGCTGCTCCTATAACGGAGAGTATGAGTGTACCCTTATTGTGCGGACACGAGGCCATGACGCGTGCCGCCGCAAGAATTTCCCGGTTCGCCATATGCAGCGTGTTTGCGTGCAGGCAGGTGCAATCACGATTCACTGCCCAATAAAGCGTTTCCTAAGCCGCGACGAGAGTCCGATAGGGCTACTTCGCCGTTTGACAGCATGTATTGAACAAGCTGTCACTTTATGACTAATACATCGATAGCAGTTGTCTTTTCCACCAACCTGATAAAAAGCAAGTCAGCTCAGAAATGGCGCATCAGAGGTACAGGAGACGAAAATCTGCTGATCTATGAACAAAGCTAATACAGAACCTATGCGACTGTACTTCAGCAAAAGTCAGATCCGAGGTCGGTTTGTGATGGCATGACGCCCAACGGTAGACAGGTTTGAAATGGTGATTGCTCCCCACACGCACAAACTGCAACGCCGAACGTGCTGCCCAGCTAAGAGTTTAAGACATGTCAGTTGCCCAAACAAGATGGCGCACAAACATTGGCACAATGTACAGGTGTATTACGAACAGCCCGAAGCGCCCAATTTCAGGCTGCAGGGGTTAATCGGA